AGAAAGAAGAAAGAAAGAAAGAAGAAAGAAAGAAAGAAAGAAAGAAAGAAAGAAAGAAAGAAAGAAAGAAGGAGAAAGAAAGGAAAGAAAGAAAGAGGTGTCAATGGGACATCATTCTGCAATCACCAGGACACCTGCCTCCCTGTCCCCTCCCAGATGAAGTCACTAAGAACATGGTTTTTTAAAAACAAAAAAGTAGCTAATAGCTTCCTACTGAACACTTGAAACTGGAGTTATTGTGATATTCCCATTTGGCACTGGGTCAACTCAGACTCAGTAACTAACAGGATGGAAAAGGCCCAACAAGCCTCACTTCCTAAGTGAAAAGGATTTATCTAGTCAAGAACACAGAAAGGTCCTAAATTTTCTTTACCCAGATCCTTTCTTTTTTTTTTTTTGAGACAGAGTCTTGCTTGCTCTGTCACCCAAGGCTGCAGTGTAGTGACACAATCTCAGCTCACTGCAAACTCTGCCTTCTGGATTCAAGTGATTCTCCTGCCTCAGCCTCCTAAGTAGCTGGAATTAGAGGCATGTGCTATCACACCCAGCTAATTTTTGTGTTTTTAGTAGAAACAGGGTTTCACTTTGTTGGCCAGACTGGTCTCGAACTCCTGACCTCAGGCAATCTGCCTACCTCAGCCTCCCAAAGTGCTGGGATTACAGGCATGAGCCACCAGGCCCAGCCTACCCAGATCGTTTTTGAGGGGTGTATTTCAGTGAGCAACTTTGAAGAGTGAAGAACCTAAGAAGACAGTTTAGGGCAGCCTCTTATAGGAATAAGGTGAATTTTGATCAAGGGAAAATGAAAGAGAATTGCGTCTCAATTAAGTGAAAGTGTTTTTCTCACTTAACTGCTTGGTGCAAAGTGATGGGGTCCTCGCGCTCACTATTGCTCAGTTGAACACAAACCCACTATCTGTGTAGCATCTATCTGGGCCCTGTAGATTATCCTCTGGGACTTGGGGCAAGGGAACTAACACAAGTATAATGATGCTTACACTATTTACTGTGAGATGAGTAATACGGTCTTTTGTCTCTCACCCTGAAGTTTCGTGTCTTCTGCCATTAGCCACACAACTGTAACAGTCTAACTCATTAACTTGTGGGAAAGGCAAAACCTCAGAACAATCACAGTTCTTGATACTGGTTCCAGGAAGGGGTGGGAGGAAACAGCTGGCATTCACCAAAGTGAGTGATCACATTGACGCGTCATTCCCTTAGGATCATTACTTTTTCTTTGTTTCTTTTCTTTTCTTTTTTTTTTTTTTTTTTTGAAGTTGTATAACTTATTTGACGATCAGCACTTAGTTTTTATTCACAGTGACTGTAGATTTCTGAAAGTGGCAGCAGGGGCATAGGTAAGCAATGCACAGAGCTTGTGTGGCTCATTTCTCAGCAACCACACGTGATGTGGGACATTCCTCATTCCTTTGGCCCAGAAAGCTTTGCTGAGGTTAGTATGAATGTGCATCATAGGAGTTCCCCTCTCCTTCAGGACAAATGTCTGGCCCTCTTTGAGTGCCCCAGGGGGCCTGCTTCTTGAAGACCACTCTTCAGATGAGCTTATGAATGTTGATGGTTTAGTCTCTCATCACCACCTAACTGATGGCAGGTGGCCCGCCTTGCCAGCCTACTATTCAGAAACCATTTTGCTGGGTGCAGACAGAAAGGAAGATTGCAGGAGACTGGGTGAGAGGGAACGCAGAGATTGCAAGTACAACTTCTGAGTCGCCTGGAGGGAGGTAAACGGATGGAGCCTTTGCAAGCTAAAAAGGGGCTACTTAAAGAGAGATGATTTCTACCACCCCTGAAAAATGAATATCACATAATGGAATTTTCGATTGCTCCCAAGGTGGGTAGATGGGAGAAACTTGCCACCCCTTCCTTTGCATGAGTAAGAGGGCTGACCTATCTATCCCTCAAACAATGTGGAGGTGGCCATCATGGAAGGCAGTGGAGAGCAGGAGAAAAGGCTTGGGCTGTGAATTTGGACTGATCTTGTTTTAATTCCTGCTTTTGTCATTAACTCTGGGAACTAAATTATTTAGGGCCCCAGAACTTCATGTTTCTTCATCAATACAATGGGAATATTGATACCAATCTCACATATGCGTTGTCAGGTAAATCACCTAGCCTGAGCAGATGCCTTCGTGTTGGGGTCCTCCCCCTTTCCCTCACCTCCTACTCCACCTAGAGAGGTCATGCATCCTGCTTCACAGCCCTCAGCGATGACAGCCTCTATTCTCACTGTGGGATTCACACCCACCCGCCTCCCACACAGACTCGTGGGGGAATTTGCTCCGCATCAGCACAGAAGGTCTTTTCTTCTCATGCCCACATGTTGGGGAACCGCCCATTTGCCGGCTGTGTCTGGGAGAGGCTGGTGATCGTGACAAAGCCTGGCGTGCAGGGACTTTCCCTGGTCTGGTGGTGGCAGCTCCTTGTCTTCAGCCTTCCTCCTGCAACTTCAGTTTCTGAGCCAAAAACAAGGCTGAGAAAAGCCTGACCTCCAGTTTCTACCTTGCTGTCAGGTGTTGGAGTCACTTTTCTGGGTCCCCACAATTATTGCCTGATGGGAAAATATGCGCCCTTCAGTGCTTGTCCCAGCTCCATCGCCTTCCCCGCCTTCTCCCCCACTCTTCCTCCCCATCCAACTCCCTTCCAGCCAGAGCAGAGAGGCTGGGCCTTCAGGGAGAGGGCAGAAGTGCTTTCCGAGCTCCCTGAGTGCTTGTCCTCCTACCACAGCCCTCTTCTAGGCTGCTTTGAGTTATTATTTATTTTTCACTAAGTTGTAAGTTCCTGGAGACTCTTTTACTCACCTCTCCTCAATAATGCATACTAAAGCACTCTGCATGTCACAAGCATTCTGCGACAATTTGACCTCACCTCAGCCCTGACTTTTGCCAACTTTGGATCTGTTCCCCAGGAAACACAGGCATGGAAGTGGCCTGGAGAGGTCATCTGTGTCGTTCTTTTCCAAATAGGCAGCCGCAGCCAAGGGAGAGAAACTGACCTGCCCAAGGTGGGCAGCTGGCAATGGAAAGGGGGCGTGGAGGCAGGGACTGTCATGGCGCTCTGTTCTTTGAATTATATTGAATTACAATTTGCCTTGACAGCTACCAAGCTGACTAGACTAAATCGTCCCAGAAACCACTGGCAAGAACATCCACTAAATGGTATTTGCAAGAAATGCACCAAAAGACATTCATCAGTGAAAAGAGAGACTCCAGCTGCTCAGAAAAGCCTGATGATGTTTGCAAAAGGCAAGAGGAGAAAAAAAGTTACTCTGTCTTTTCTGTAAAATAAAGCTAAGTGCCAACTGGCATGCGACACTTAGACCTCCTCTTTGGGGCCTCCTTCCTTTAGGCCGAAGAGGAGCATCAGAAGAAGCAAGAAATGAATGTTTATAAATTTTTCTCTCCAGTCTAAACAATGCTTTTTATCCCCCAGCTTTCCTCTGCTTTCTTCACTTTTTTCATATTTCTTTTTCCCAGCAGAAATGGCCGTGAAGAGGAGTCCACACGGGTCTTCTCAGGACCATACCACGTCCATTTGGTGTTAGAACAGATTTCACATTTCATTGTTTTGATTTTATTCCATGGTGCTTTTTCCATAAGTAGTGGTTTCTATTAAATCCATAAAATAGTGATTTGCAGATGGTCTGGCATCTTCTTCTTTGTCGTAAAATATTATATGCTACTAACAAGGTTAACTCCATCCACTTGATATTTTCATTGGGTATATATATTTTAACTCTGAGTCATAAGAAAATAATATGGCAGACAAAATATACATTTCCTGAGGCAATGAGAAGGAAGATTTGAAACACAGATTTCACTGAGTTAGGTCTGCCCACTACAGATATTAATAATTTCCTTTTGTAGACAATTTGAAGCCCATTTCTATGAATATATTATATAACTCTACAATTTTAATCCTGGAAAAAATGTCAGAATTAATCCCTTTCCATCATCTAATTTTTCAGAAGAAGAAACTGAGGCTTGGATGTGAACTTAATGGCCTGAAGCCTCCTAGTAGTTTCAGAAGTGTGACAAGAAATAAAATTTCTTCATTTTTAAGTGAGTTGTCTCTGAAAAAAATAAAACAAAATATTGCCCAGTAACAATGTACTACTAATACCTTCTTCTAGTAAGCCCTCACTGAATATGTCTTTTGAGTACATGATTCATGGCAATTGTCAAAAATCACCGGTGATGAATAAATAAATGGAGGAGAAGAGACAAATCTCCCATTCAGATGAGTTCAAAGTAATTTACATAGATACTCTATTATCCAGGAAGTGAAGCAAAACTCCTTACCTAAATGTTGGCTGCCCCTAGTGACTTTTTTCCAAAGACCAGAGTATGGAAAGGGGGTGGGGGGCTGACTCCGCAGTAGAGAAACTTGACCAATGGCCCCTCTGCCAGGTGATCAAGGTCAACATGAACAGCACCAAGTCATTTGGTAGTCTGTACCCTGGATCTATTTGATGAGAATTGTACTCCACGTCTGTGGCCTTCCTTTCAAAAACCCGTAACCCCAGACCAATCATAAGAAACACACATCAGGAAAATCTCAACTGAAGGACATGCTGCAATATACTTCACCAGTACTACTCAAAACTCCCCCAAATAAGGAGGGTCTGAGAGACTGTCGCAGCCAAAAAGCGCTCAAGAGGCACAATTAAGTGTAATGTGGGATCCTGGGATGGAAAAAGGACATCAGGGGAAAACTTATAAAATCTGAATAAAGTATGGACTTTAATATAATATATATTGGTTTATTAATTGTGACAAATATGCATACTAATGTAAGATTAATAACAGGGAAAACTGGAATAGGGTAAATGGGAATTCTCCGTACTTTCTTCTCAATTTTCCTGTGAATCTCAAATTGCTCCAAAAAATATAGACTTTTTTTTTAAGGGGATGGAGTTTGCTCTGTCGCCCAGGCTGGACTGCAATGGCTTGATCTCGGCTCATGGGTTTAAGCAATCCCCCCATCTCAGCCTCCCAAGTAGCTGGGACTCCAGGCATGCACCACCACTCGCGGCTAATTTTTTTTTTTTTTTTTTCTAGTAGAGCTGGAGTTTCACCATGTTAGCCAGGCTGGTCTCGGATTCCTGACCTCAAGTGATCTGCCCACCTCAACCTCCCAAAGTGCTGGGATTACAGGTGTGAGCTACTGAGCATGCCCTAAGGATCCTTTTTTTTAATCTCTGGTAAAGGGGTCAAGGGTTTTCTGTTGTAACCTGTTGACCTTCTGGCTTGCCACAATATGTCCTTTTCGTCCATCTATGCCACCTGCAAATGTTCATCTCAAGGTTTTCTTAATAAGAAAGAGAATAGAAGTTACTATGCTCTAACTTCACTAGCGTCTTTCCCACCCTAATGTCTGGGCAGTTTGTTCACACAAACCTTCAAGAAGGGACTAGAGAGTAAGAAAACTAGAATGTATGATGCATGGGAATTTTGTCTGTTGTGTTCACTGGCTTTTCCCAAGTTCACAAAAAAAGTGTGTGGCACATAGTAGATGATCAATAAATATCTGTAAAATAAGTGAGAGTCTTAAGTAAGAAATTATCTTTTAAAAAGATATCTGTTGTGTGAAATGTAGTCTAAAATGCTGTAACTGAACAATTATTATTGGTCCACTAAAAATACAGAAAATAAAAACCAAAATGCTTTAACTGATTTTCAATATAAATCTATCAAAGCTTGTATACTCAAATGAGTGTAAGCCCTCTGAATTAGTACTCCTGGCAGGCATAGACTTCATTCAATCCTGATGTTGCTACTCCAGTTAATTTTAGAATTGTTCACTTAAAATTTTTTAGCACAGACATGTAAATCGAGACCTTCGTGATCGAGGCCTCCGACTATTTCCTCTAAACAACTGTCCTCGAGACAAATGTCCTCTTGTTTGAAACCTTCCCTTTCCACTCCCACTCCTCATCCATCTAAGAAATTCCAATTCCTCCGTAAAATCCGAGCTTCAAAGACACATTCCCTGAAAACCTTTTTCTTACTTTCGTATCACTACCTCCCTGAGAGAGAATTCATCATTTTTTGGTTTTACATTTGTTCTCTATTTTTATCCTTATCATGATGAGCTGTGTTTATGTGTTTATCTCGTGGTTCTCTGTATTAGCCTGTGAGCTTCTCAAAGGCAGGAGCCTTGTATCATTCATCTCCATATCCGCAGCTGCCCACAGAGCTGCTGGCTCAATAAGTGCCTGTTGAATTGAATGGGATGGAAGAGAACTGTAATTAAGTCCAAAGTCATAAGCCATATTCCTTTTAATAATCTCAGTAGTGGCAAATCTCAGTGCTTTGAGACTGGATATGTGATCGAAAAAGATCAAAGTCATTTAGTACCTACTTTGATGAACAAAGTGGGTAAAAATGCTCCAAGCAATGCTATTTTATACAAATCTGGAAATGTCTACCAATAAGGAGATTAGTGGCCTTACATGTCTCATCAGGGAAACAGGTTCAAAAATCAGTCTTAATATTGTATAACTGAATTCATATTTATTACAAAATGCTTACATATGTAGACAATAGAATCTGGTTATTGCAATAATTTGCTCTAACATGTATTCAGCAAAGTTATTCGTTTGTTTATTTTGAGACGGAGTCTTGCTCTATCACCCAGGCAGGAGTGCAGTGGCACAATCTCAGCTCACTGCAACCTCTGCCTCCTGGTTTGAGCAATTTTCCTGCCTCCGATTCCTGAGTAGCTGGGATTACAGGTGGCTAATTTTTGTATTTTTAGTAGAGACGAGGTTTCACCATGTTGGCCAGGCTGGTCTTGAACGCCTGACCTTGTGATGCACCTACCTCGGCCTCCCAAAGTGCTGGCATTACAGGCATGAGCCACCATGTCCAGCCAGTAGTTTTTATTAGATGTCATAATCGTAGCACTGTCTCGGTCTGAGATATCACAAGAGTGAAAAGACAAGGTCCTGTCCCTAAAGAACTCACATTCAAGGGTTGGAGACAGAGCTACACAGTTATCACACTAGTCAAACTGTAGTAAGTGGCAGATAAAGGTGTAAACACTATACATTGGGGACTATAGATTCTGGAGTTGTTCATCTTCACTGGGAAGGTTTAAGAAAGGACACTCATTGAATTGCCGTCTTTGGCCAACTTCAGCTGTAAATGTCTAAGGAATAGTGTAGATGATGTGTAGTGAAAGATGAAACTGGAAAAAACGGTTTAGGTCAGACCATGACAGCATCTCAGTGCTGATCTAAGGAGTCATTCTGTAAAAACAGACAAACATGAAGCTGTTGGAAGTTTCTAAACTCATAGCAACTACCAGACCTAGGTTTTAGGAAGATGGCTCTATTGTCAGTGTGGAGACAAATAGAAGATGATCAGAATAAAGGTGAGATCAGAGAAGCAAGAGAAAAAGGAAGACTAGTTATATAAGGCATTCACATAGGCTTAAGATGCTCACACAGTTTCTCTCACAACCCCTTTACACTTTCAAAAACTACTGGGAACCCAGAGAGTTTTCACTGATGTGGGTTATATCTATTTTCAATATATTATAAATAAAAATTG